GATAGACTGGCAGCCCCACGCATTCGCAGGAAGCTTCAAAGCTTCCTAAGGTTTGCAAACTTTTACAGACAATTTATTCCAGCCTTTGCAGAAGTCACCCTGCCCCTAACAGAACTGTTAAAAACAGGGCCTCCTCCTGCAGCACCACAGCTGAACCAACCACTCGCCTGGTCAAAGAGCCTTTGAAAAATTAAAATGGCTCTTTGCCGAGGAGCCAATCCTCGAACTCCCAGACCCAGAATGACAGTTCACCATCCAAGCGAACACCAGTGACATAGCCATGGCAGCCGTGCTCCTACAGAAGGACCCACAAGGACAGCTTCTACCCTGTGCCTATGTGTCCAAGAAGCTCACTGAGACCAAAAGGAAGTGGGCCATTTGGGAGAAAGAAGCCTACGCAGTCCGCTGGGCTCTCCTTTTCTGGAGGCATTTTCTGGAAGGGGGTGAAATGCCCTTTGAGGTCTGGACTGATCATAAAACCTCAAAGCCCTAACCCCCCCCAAAAAAAACTATCTCCGAAACAAATCTGCTGGGCACAGTACCTCAGATAGTTTAAATTCAAGCTGAAATACATCCCAGTGGGAAAACATCTACTAGCTGATGCCCTATTGAGAAAACCCCAATTCAATAGTTGCATGGAAGAAGTTGTCCACGCCATCATTCCCCCCTCACAATCAGCCACACAAGTCACCACTAGAGGTCAAAACAGACGACAACCTGATCCCAGCCGAGACAAGCTGATGGCGGCACTGAAAACAGCTTCCAATTGACCCATGGCTCATAGAGAATAGGGATATCTTGACCATGAGAGATGGACTCACTTGGAAGGGCTTGAGACTGGAAGTACTACAGCACAGCCATGATTCCAGACTGGCTGGCCATTTCGAATTCTTTAAAACCCTGCACCTGCTCAGGAGACAATTTTGGTGGCCAAAATTGAAAGCTGATGTAGAGGACTAATGAAAAGCTGTTCCACATGTGCTATCATAAAAATGAGACCAGGTAAACCTCCTGGGCTCCTCCAGCAAGTAGCCAGCCCTAGCCAACCCTGGGAAAAAATTGCAATGGACTTCATAGTTGCATTCCCAGAGATGGAATACAATCATTTGGACAGTAACCGACTTACTTTCAAAGCAAGCCCACTTCACAGCCTGTTCCGGATTACCATCAGTGAAGAAACTGGCAAACATGTTCATCAAACAGATTTACCCATTGTACGGAACTCCCCGCCGGTTATCTCAGACCGTGGAGTCCAATTCACAGCTAAATTTTGGAGAGAGTTCCTGAGATCGGTAGGATCAACACAAGGACTTAGCTTGGCTTTCCATCTGAGTATGAATGGAGCTGTGGAACAAGCGAATGCAATGGTGGAACAATATACAGTCATGGCCGTAAATGTTGGCACCCCTGAAATTTTTCCAGAAAATGAAGTATTTCTCACAGAAAAGTATTGCAGTAACACATGTTTTGCTATACACATGTTTATTCCCTTTGTATGTATTGGAACAAAACCAAAAAAGGGAGGAAAAAAAGCAAATTGGACATAATGTCACACAAAACTCCAAAAATGGGCTGGACAAAATCATTGGCACCCTTTACTTAATATTTGGTTGCACACCCTTTGAAATAAATAACTGAAATCAGTCGCTTCCGATAACCATCAATAAGCCTCTTACACCTCTCACCCGGAATTTTGGACCACTCTTCCTTTGCAAACTGCTCCAGGTCTCTCTTATTGGAAGGGCGCCTCTTCCCAACAGCAATTTTAAGATCTCTCCACAGGTGTTCAATGGGATAGAGATCTGGACTCATTGCTGGCCACTTCAGAACTCTCCAACGCTTTGTTGCCATCCATTTCTGGATGCTTTTTGACGTATGTTTGGGGTCATTGTCCTGCTGGAAGACCCAAGATTTCCGACGCAAACCCAGCTTTCTGACACTGGGCTCTACAGTGCGACCCAAAATCCCTTGGTAATCCTCAGATTTCATGATGCCTTGCGCACATTCAAGGCACCCAGTGCCAGAGGCAGCAAAACAACCCCAAAACATCAGTGAACCCCCACCATATTTCACTGTAGGTAGTGTGTTCTTTTCTTTGTAGGCCTCATTCCGTTTGCGGTAAACAGTAGAATGATGTGCTTTACCAAAAAGCTCTATCTTGGTCTGGACGTTTGCCCAGAAGGATTTTGGCTTACTCAAGTACATGTTGGCAAACTGTAGTCTTGCTTTTTTATGTCTCTGTGTCAGCAGTGGGGTCCTCCTGGGTCTCCTGCCATAGCGTTTCATTTCATTTAAATGTCGACGGATAGTTCGCGCTGACACTGATGCTCCCTGAGCCTGCAGGACAGCTTGAATTGCTTTGGAACTTGTTTGGGGCTGCTTATCCACCATCCGGACTATCCTGCGTTGGCACCTTTCATCAATTTTTCTCTCCCGTCCACGCCCAGGGAGATTAGCTACAATGCCATGGGTTGCAAACTTCTTGATAATGTTGCGCACTGTGGACAAAGGCAAATCTACATCTCTGGAGATAGACTTGTAACCTTGAGATTGGTGATATTTTTCCACAATTTTGGTTCTCAAGTCCTCAGACAGTTCTCTTCTCCTCTTTCTGTTGTCCATGCTTAGTGTGGCACACACAGACACACCATGCAAAGACTAAGTGAACTTCTCTCCTTTTTATCTGCTTTCAGGTGTGAGTTTTATATTGCCCACACCTGTTACTTGCCCCAGATGAGTTGAAAGGAGCATCACATGCTTGAAACAATCTTATTTATCCACAATTTTGAAAGGGTGCCAATGATTTTGTCCAGCCCATTTTTGGAGTTTTGTGTGACATTATGTCCAATTTGCTTTTTTTCTTCCCTTTTTTGGTTTTGTTCCAATACACACAAAGGGAATAAACATGTGTATAGCAAAACATGTGTTACTGCAATACTTTTCTGTAAGAAATACCTCATTTTCTGGAAAAATTTCAGGGGTGCCAACATTTACGGCCATGACTGTATGCTATGTAGATTATCAACAAGAGAACTGGGCGGACCTGCTGCCATTTGCAGAAGTGGCTTATAACAACGATATGTACAGCAGCGCCAGATTAACCCCCTTCCAGGTCACCAGTGGCATGGACTTTGTACCCATGCCTGAACTGCCCAGAGAACCCCCCTCCTCCATGACCTGAGTGGATGGAGTCATTGAGTAAGGGCGGGAGAACACTAAAAAAGCGCTAGCAGAGGCCACTGAGGCATATAAAAAGCAAGTGGACAAACACCAATCTCTTCAACCTCCCTTCCATGTGGGAGATCCGGTTTATCTATTGACCAAATACATAAGACTAAAGCTGCCTAGTAAGAAGCTAGGAACTAAGTTTTTAGGTCCGTTCCCAGTAACAGTTCAACTTAACTTCCCCTGCATTCTAGGGAAAGTGCATCCTGTTTTTCACTGCAGTCTGCTGAAGCCAGCCATAGGGTCCAGATTAAGACTGCAGGCTCACCACCACCCCCAGCCTATGTTGGTGCAAGAGGAAACCCATTACGAAGTAAAAGTAAAATAGATTTTAGACTCCAGATTATATAGAGGTTGATTGCAATATCTAGTACATTGGAAGGGGTACCCTTTGTCTGAAGCTACTTGGGTAAAGAGCTGGGATGTGAAAGCAGACAGACTAGTAAAACAATTCCATGATAAATACCCTGATAAGCCCAAAGATCCTCCTGGGGGGGAGGGGAAGAGGTGGTTAGTCTTCTGAATTAACCCCGTGTTAGTCTCGTTGCAGGACACGATCTTCTGATGGGGGGTGGCTGTCAGGCCTGCCACATTTACTACTGTGGGAAACTGGGAGAGGGGATAGTTACAACAACATTCTTTTCTCAGAGAGTCAAGGACTTATTGCCCTACACCTGGAGGGCTGGAACTGGGAGGCATCTCCAGTTGGGATGGTGCTTTGATTGGGCCATGTGATGGACTTGTGGGTGCTGGGCAGGGACTTGGACTTTCCTTTGGGTGGGGAAAACCTGGAAGCTTTCAGATTTGGGGTTTCCAAGATGTGCCAATATGACATCTCTAATAAAATGGAACTTTGAGGAACAGCAAGCCTCAGAGTCTTCTTTCAGTGGGGGTGTTACTTGGAACTCTGACAGCTGGAACCAAGCACCTGGTGCAGCCTGAGTCTAGTAAGGCTCTCAGGGTGGTTTCCAGTCCTGACCCTGGGAAATGGAGTTCTATGGGGACAGTCACAGGTGTGATTAAGCCACTTACCAAGGGGTCATCATCGTCATTGGTATCAGCTAGCCCTTGGTCATCATCCTGTGGGATCGGAGTTTCCTCCGTCTTTTTGGGTGAGGGAGTGAGCGCCACAACCCCCACTCCTTTCAGTGCCATCTCTCTCATGTGAGGTTGCATCTTGGGAGTTTTCTCCCCAGGGGCTTGATCTATTTTCTTGACTGGACAATTAATTCTGCATTCCATGACTTGGTGGCCTTCCTTGCCACATTTGAAACAGGCAGTGGATCATGCTTGCAGGGCTTGAGTTCTGGCCGCGTCCCTCTTCCTTTCCAGAGGTGACTTTTTCCAGACTTTGGCTGTGTGGTACTTGTTTCGGATTTGGACAATCTTCACTTCCTCGGACAGCACGCACCAGTCATGAAAGCGGGCCAGAGCCCCTGTTGCAATACAAGCAATATGCAGGTCATCGTTCAGCCCAACTTTGAAGCAGTTCACGATGATGTCTGCTGGCCAGTTGAAGTGGCACATAAGGTCACAAAATTCCTCCATTATTCTGCCACACCCTGTGCCTTTGCCACAAGGTCTTTATGTGATCCCTGGCCTTTCGATCGGCCAGCAGGTCTTCAAACTGCCACCGAAGTGCTGCCAATTGGAGTTCCTCAAGTTGGGGGCATTTGCATTGGGATTGGCCTTAATTCTTCCTTTGGATGAACCTTCTCCAAGTAGCTCCATTAGCAAGTGAAGTAGGCATACACCATTTGAACTTTTTTTTCTAGATACGATAGTTGAGCAGTTCAGACATTTAAGCCTCATCATCTTAAAGTAAGTAAAATGAAGATTATTTTACCCATGTTTATTTACACTGTGTATATTTGACACTTTCATTTGCCTTGACAGTTTCCAGCCAATTGTTTTTGGCACACCAGTCATAAAAAGCCATATATATATATATAATTGTCAATAATTTATTTTATCAGGCTTCATTTTTAAAGAAAATTCAGTCTGTACTACAAATGCCACCATTCTATGTTTCACTCCTTGACCAGGAGCCAACTGAATAATAGGGGCAATGATTGGAACTGATTGACATCTGTGGAGAGTGGATGGCGGCCAAAGGGTTTTATATTGCCCAGAATGGCCATGTGATTGAATTAGCAATCATTACAAAACAGAAAATATCCATCTTCACATATGCATCTGGGTATAACCAGCCTTATTTGTTCTATAAAAAACAAAGTTGACACTAAGAATTTGCATTTTGAGAAAAATAATAATATGGTTGCAGTATTTTGTATTTCTGACATACAAGAGTTTGCATGAATAAATGGAAGTGTAAATTGCAGGAAGGATAGAATGGGGAACACTTTTGTTGTTAACATTTTGTCAGGCTTGTACCAAGTTAGCATTTTGGAAAGAAAGATCCTTGACTCCATTTTGGAAATGAAAGTTTCACTTTTATGAAAGTCAAGCAATTACAGCATAAGCAAAGCTGGATCTGAATATTTCTGTGCAAAGCTTACAGTTTTCCCTCTTCCTTGCCCTTGCCATGCCATATAAGCTAAAGCAATGCCTTCCATTTCTTCTTCGACACACTACACTGTTGTCATAGAACTTGGGGCAGTACTTACATGGAAGTTTCCACTTATACAGATGTAACTCTGTGCATGCAGCCACTGCATGTTCTTGAAATTACTATCATGTATAATAGCCTCCTCAGTTTTGATAATTTTATATGTTGTTTTCACATGATACTGTAATATTCCCTTTACTTAATGGACTGTTTGTGTCTGTCTATTCCATAAAATTATTACAAATACTGTATAAATTTGTGGATAAACCAACACTCAACTTTCTAACCCAAATTCCATGAAAAATGTGCCATATGCTGATAAGCCAATTGTGAAAACTTTGAGGATCAGCATATCCATGGATGGGCTTATCCTTAAGTATATATGGATACTTCAAAAAAGTATTACTGAATATGCTCAAATATAAACCGATTGAAGGATAAGCCAAACCCAAGTTTTGCAGTATAATGTGGACCCTAAAATTCTCAGCTTATTCACAAGTATGTACAATATATCAATTATATTCCACCTAGTGATTGAATTATTATTAATATGCAACTAATAGCATTTAAATCTGATATTTACTCCTAGGAAAATTTCAAATTACAGCAGGTCATTAAGCACTAGCAATAGTTATATGTGAAGTATTTCATGCTTTGAGCATATCCTAACATTAATCATGGGGATTTGGGATGTCTAAATGTGTTAGCTGCTCAATACAATCAGGGAGTCCTCTTCACTTTCAGTAACTCGTCATGCAATTTTGTTCTGCCTTTTATTCCTCACTAGATCAGTATTTGGAAAACTCACAATAAAGGTGTGTTACCAATAAAAAAGGAAGCTGGGAAGACAGCAAATTTACTTTTAACACCCAGAGATGAGTTCTCAGAAACAACACAAACAGAAGCAAGAATCTTTCCCAAGGCCAGGACCCAGACTTTCATTTAACTACTGTATCTTTAAACATCAAAAGCAGGGCCCTGAAGCACCTAGATGCAGTTCTTTGGGGAGTTCCAATATCACTTGTACCTATAATCCAGGAAATAAAGATTGTGTATAATAAATATATTGTAAAATTACTTTCTAAATGCCTATCATACACAGCTCTGTACATTATTATTTTCCTCAAAATGGACATTAGATAACTCAGACTTTTCTAGGAAGAATCATAGTACAGTTGAACAGTTTATGCTAAGGCTGATATCTCAAGTTTCTGTCTTGGGGCCAGTGCTCTTCAACATCTTCATAAGTGATTTAGATGAGGGGATAGAGGGGAACTCATCAAATTTACAATGACACCAAGCTGGGAGGAATTGCTAACTCTTTGGAAGATAGACTTAAGATCCAAAAGTATCTTGACAGACTTGAGCATTGGGTCCTATCCAAAAAGATGGAATTCAGTAGTGAGAAAAGCAGACAAGAAACACCAAATGCACAGGTATAGAATAGGCAGTACCTGACTCAACAGTACTTATTGTAAGACGGATCTAGGTGTTTTAATGGACCACCACTTAATTATGAGCCAGCAGTATACTGTGGCTGCCAAAAAAGCCAATGCAGTTCTAGGCTGCATCCACAGAGAGATAGCATCAATATCACAAGAAGTAATAGTACCATTTTATACAGCACTTGTGTGGTCACACTTGGAATATTCCATCCAATTCTGGTTACAACAATACAAAAAAAAAACAACCTTGAAAGTGCAGAGAACAACAACAAACATGAAAAGGAATCCAGAGGCTAAATTGTATGATGAACAATTGAGGGAGCTACGGTAGGTATGTCTAGCCTATTGAAAGTAGGATTAGTGATGATATGATAGTTGTCTTCCAGTATATGACGGTTGCCACAGAGAAGAGAGGATTGGCTTATTCTCCAAAGACCAGAGGGCAGGACAGAAAGCAGAAACAATGAGTAGAAGCTTGTTAAAGAGATCCAATTTGAGAGAATAATTAATCAATGGAATAGTTGGCCTCATGTAGTTGTCGGTGCTCCATTGCTGGAATATCTTTGTATTTCTGACTTTTGTTGTTTTATTGAAATATAAAATATAAAGGAAAATAGAAATAGGAAATTAGGGGAAGGAAAAAAAGAGGGAGAAAAGAAAATATGGAGCACAAGGGAAAAAAGAAAAAAAAGCATTGACTTCAGATTCTTTTCAGCACAGTAGAAGATAACATTACAGTCTCAACTTTTTACTTTTACACATTGGTATATAACTAGCCATTTCTATAACATCAAATCTATCTAATTGGCAAAACCAAAGTCTAAATTTCTTTTTTTTTAATCACAAGCATAAAATCCAGAAGTGATTTCCAAATGAAAAACATAAATATATTCTCCTCTTTGAATAAAGCAATCAATTTAACAATTTCTGCTTTTTCTTCCTCGCTATGAAAATACATATATCTCTTTTCACTTAATCTTTATAAACTATCACCATTTATATTAATAAAATTCACTGTATTCTTTCAGATTCTTTAACCTTAAAGGAAAAAATATTTTTATCCATTTTAAAACATTAAGCTTTTCTTTAAAAACATGTCTGAGATCAAAAAGTTCTTTTTTTAAAAAAACTTCCTCTTAACATACATACTTTAAAGTTCACTTACAGTCAGACTAATAAAATTCCAACTAACACCAATTAACTCATTAAATTTAAATCACTCTCTTCGAGTTACCCTCATAAAATAAAAAAATTATTCTTATATATATCGTTTTTAAAACTCTAAACTTTTATTTAAGCTGCTACATCTTTTTCTTTAACTTTCTCTGACATCTTTTCTTTAACTTTCTCTTTCAAATAGTCAGTAATGTTTTAAAAGAGCCTTGGTAGTACAGTGGTTTAATGCACCCTGTAATTAACACAGCTGCCTGCAATTTCTGCAGGTTCGAATCTTACCAGGCTCAAGGTTGACTCAGCCTTCCATCCTTTCTAAGGTAGGTTAAATGAGGACCCAGTTTGTGGGGGCAATAAGCTGACTTTGTATAAATATACAAAAGTATGAAGGCTATTGCTTAACGCATTGTAAGCCGCCCTGAGTCTCTGGAGAAGGGTGGCATATAAATCAAATTAAAAAAAAAAAACTTTAAAAATTACTTAAATATTATAAAGTAAAAAATGCATTTTCAAATCCACTTTACATTAAAACTTCCTTTCAATTACAAATATCAGACCAATAAAAATCCATCCTAATGCCAATTAACTTATTATGAAGTAATATGAAGTAAAACCATTTCCTTCTCTGCAATGTGTATCAAGTAGTTATAAACTTTTGTTTTATTCAAGGATTTCTCAACCGTGTTAGTGCCCATGAAGAAAAAGTCCAAACTTTGTCCTTTTGAAAGTTGCAGATTTTCTTGGAACTCTTCTTTCAATTGTGTTGGGAGATTTATATTTAAACCATCATAATAAAGATTGGTGTCAAGTTTATATTCCAAAATATAAATATATATTCCAAAATATAAATATATATTCCAAAATTGACAAACAAAATTAACATTGTCAGCTACTTGTGAAATTGCTTCGGTGGTTTGTTAACTTTCTACATATAATTGCTTCTCTGAAGTAGTTTGAGTATTTTTTTTTAACATACTTGGAGCATAGCTGTCTATGAACTGTTGGGCTTTAGTCAAAGAGTAGCTTTTTTTTGTTTTAACTTTCTGATAAGAATTAAAAAGTTTTAGCCACCTACAGCAAAGCAGACCAAGCTACAAGTAACTAAAAATAATAAACTAGAACCACAACTTTCTACCCTTATATTTCTCTATCATTTTGTCCACACTTCCTTATTTTAGCTTTTCTTCAGCAGCCTTCTTCCTTGTTGTTTAACAATGAAGAAATCCTCAAAATGGCACAGATCTTCGAAAAGGACTAACAGGCTGTGGCTAAAGAGAGCCCCTATTAGTTTAATAAGGATTAATAGTTCTTTAAAATGATGAAGAAACTAAGGCATAATTTACTGTCAGTTTAAAAAATAAATTCCAAAATTGTTGCTTTTTCAACAAACAAACAGCTCCCCCCCTCCCAGCTGTCAGCATGCAGGCTGCTTCGAAGCACAGCTCCTAAAACTACTTGCAGACCTTTGCTGTATGGAGGATCTTGTGGGATGATTTTAGGAATCTCCCTAACCCAGGAGAGTCATATAAACTAAAGGAATGCCGGTTCCTTCAGTTAATAAGTTGAAAAAGAGACAGTCCAGGGAAAAATACTTCAGGGAGCCACTGGGATCTCTGCCTGGGCGTGTCCTGTAGTCTTTAGTTGACCATCTTCATTGGAAACTCATTGCTGGAATAGAATAGAATAGAATAGAATAGAATAGAATAGAATAGAATAGAATAGAATAGAATAGAATAGAATAGAATTCTTTATTGGCCAAGTGTGATTGGACACACAAGGAGTTTGTCTTTGGTGTATATGCTCTCAGTGTACATAAGGAGAATAAAATACATTCATAAAGAATAAAAAGATACAACTCTTAGTGATAGTCAAGGTTAGATATATATAGATACATATGGATGTTAGACAGTCAGACATAGATTGATATCAAAAATATACTGGACAACAATTTGACCAGGATGGTATAACGCAGGGGTCAGCAACCTATGGCTCTGGAGCCACATGTGGCTCTTTTAACCCTCTGCTGAGGCTTCCTCCTTTCATTCCTCTGCCGTGAAGAGAAGTGGCCGATGCCACTGCTGTTGCCCCCTCCATGGTCTGCCCGCTGCTCTCAAAGCGCCTTGCACAGCACAGTGAAATTTAACGCACTTCACAATGGGGGAGACAGGGTCCCGCTCCTCCTGGAGCCCATTACGACATGGAGCCACAATGCAACCCTGCCCCACTCGCCCGTGGCAACAGCAGCGGCGTTGGCTGTGGCACAGGGCAAGCCAGTGTCTTGGGGCAGAGAGCAGGTTGCGCATCTCCCTGAGCGAGCGAGGTGTGTCCAGCACCAACAAAGGCCAGAAGTAGCCACCCGGCGTTTCGTGCTGCAGTCTGTTGGTGAGAGAGAGAGAGACACACACACACGTGCTCCCCTCCCCCTGTGCATGTGCATGCAACCCCCACTTTTGGCCTCACATCCCAAAACAGTGGTGGTGGTGGGGGAAGCCTCGCCTCCCAAAACAGCGTTGGGAGGGGAATCTCTGGAGTTCTGGGAAGGCACGGGCAGCAGAAAGTGAGGAGAAAGGTAGCCCCCCCCTGCGCATGCGGGTGCGTCTCCCACTTGCAGGGCGGAGACCTGAAAATCATCTGGCCAGTGGGAAGTGCGCACACATGCACAGTGGAGTTGAGCTGGGCGATGGCTTGCGTGCCCGCAGAGAGTGCTCCGTGTGCCACCTGTGGCACGCATGCCATAGGTTCGCCATCACGGGTATAGGAATTTCTGTTTAAGCCTGAGGGTTGGACTAGAAAACCTCCGCAGTCCCTTTCACCTCTATTATTCTGTTCTTCTGTTAAATGCTAGGAGCCAAATCAGTTCTCTTCCAGCCACTGTTCTATTCTCGTATTGTAAGTATTGGAGCAAACCCACTGAAATACAGTATCTCTTAAATCCCACTGCAGATACCTTCACCTAAATTATCATAATCACTTTTCAGTCATTTTACCCATTTCTATCATGGTATAATGTAGTGTTTAGTATCTGAACCACATTTTCCTACAGCCAAGTATATTGCTGTATCAAACTTTTGTATCAGCCTTAAGAACGAGCCTGTAGTACAGTGGACTAAAGCACTGTTATTAATAGATTAACATCTGCTGCTTGCAATTACTGCAAGTTCAAATCTCACCAGGCTCAAGGTTGACTCAGCCTTCCATCCTTTCAAAGGTAGGTGAAATGAGGACCCAGATTGTGGGGGCAATAAGATGACTTTGTATAAATATACAAAAGTATGAAGGCTATTGCTTAACACATTGTAAGCCATCCTGAGTCTCCGGAGAAGGGCGGCATATAAATTAAAGAGAAAAAAAAAAGAAGAGGTATGTTTCTGTGAAGTAAAATTCTACCTGGCTACCTCTCAGAGTAATTGTGCAGAATTTACCATGAAAACATTGCAATCAGGACACAATGACAACATTTCAGGCCAAAATACCTTTCAATATCTTCATGGCTACTTCCTAGCAGTATCCAGAAGTTTTTTCTTCTTATATGTAATATTAATTCCCATTTGGATGTATTTCACACTGTATTGGCCTATTATATTAAAATAACTGTCAAATAATGAAACAATGAAATGTGTGTGTTAGCCGCATATGCATAATTCTTAGATGTGTACCCTCCATCAACCAAAAGTCACTTGAGATGAGTGACATGCTTCATACTTTCTAATCACATCTAAGAAAAATGAGAGCAAGAATTAGCCAAGGTAAACAGAACTGCAAATATCATAGTTCAATGGGAAAATTCTTGATTACAACTACTTCCTTTGTCATAAAGCATCAAAACATATTTTCTTCTTTTAGATCTTCATTGCAATGTGTGAAGTTATAATACTTCAGATTTTTGACAACCATATATATATGAAAATCAGATTCATAGTTCTTATAGCAGCATTATGTTAAGAAAAAATACCTGTGGGAGAATGATGGAATAGCACAAAGACATATGGTTTGCTTAACCTTGCATAAGCCACAATTAACTGGACTCAGATGTTCCCTAATCCTTAAAATTGCAATCATTTTATGGCTCAGCACAGTGTGTAACTCTCAACAGAAGTGTATCTGTGTCCAAGTAAATGACATTCAGAGATGATAATTTGAACAATGCACAGTGCCTCACAAATCAAAATCCAATACAATGACATTAAATGCAGTACTTGCTTATTGTTAATGTTTGGGCATCAAAATTACTTGACATTTGCCTGGGACAATAGGATTGTGTTACATGGGTACAGCTGAGAGCAAAGAATAGCATCACTCTTTTATCTTCACGGCCAAGGTGCTTTTGATATCACTTGTACGAAAACCAAACAAAAGTAGGATCCTGATGGAACTTATTCACCGGCAATATCAAACCAATTTAAGCAAGGGAACAGGACAAACAGGCATTACTTCTTTTTCTTCTGAATAGTCATAACTTCTATCTTTTTGAAGACCTGTGGGCACAATGTCCAATATTTGCTAAGCAGCAGTGTTCTTGATTAATGACTGCTGGTAAAAGAAAGCACTGAACTGGGATCTCATTCACTGGTCCTGATTCAACATAGTTCATGGTATGAAAAAAGAGGCTGAAGCTTAGAAATCATAAGCCATGAGCTGACTCAGGTGCTGACTCAGTGCAATTAACAGTTTCAGGGTAATGTTCCAAGAACAATACTAATGCAAGTAGGTCTCACTTAATGACCAGTCACTTAGCAATCATTCAAAATTATGACAGATCTCCACAGAGCTACTTATAACCCATTTTCAAAGTTATGACCTGCGTCACCTATCACAGTCACAGGATCACATTTTGGGTATTTAACAACCAGTTCATTTTCAGCTGTTTGCAGTATCCTGTGATCACATCACTGCAATTTTTGGCAGATTTTGCTGGTTTCTGGTATTTACTTACAATTTTCAGCAAAATTGCCCATTGGTGAAAACAGATTTGCTTAACAACTGCCAGGTTTGCTTAATGACTGCAGCATTCTTTTAACAACTGCATTGTTTACTTAATACGTCATAAAATTGAACATGGTGGTGCCCCACTTAGTGACTACCATATAATTTGTGGGTGGGGGAGTTGGATCAAACTCAGATCCCCCATCCACCTATCGGCTGCAGATGTTTAATGCAATTGAAACCCCTGCACAATTGGAGATCCAATCACATGGCAAAGCAATAAAGTTGCATTGAGAAAGGTGACCTTTTCTAAACATACAATACATGAATCAAATAATACGAACAGCATGGACAGCACTACAGACCAAGCTGACAGTACAATCCTTTCTCACTTCCCCTTTTGGAGAAATTAGAATAGGGCTATGTCATAAAACATTTTGAGGCAAACCCCAAGGCATTTAAAAATAAGTATGAGATGTTTAGACTGAAATCAAGAAGTTGGGTGAATAAATAACTGCATTTTGAAAAACCATTTTTTTCCAGTTCATTTCAACTAATAATTTCAATGTACCAGTAAGAGTGATGAAAAGCTTGTAAGAAACATACTCTGTGACCCTATATTTGGGACTTTCCCCATTGCTGAATTAAAGTATTAATTCATCTATCCAACATGAAATTTGCTATCAATCATAGCACATCATGACATTTTCCTTGGACAGAATAAATGGAGAAACACTATCATTGGTAGAGCAAAGATGACAAGCATGTGTCACTCATGAGAAATTTCCAGGATAAGACAAATGCAACATCATGGAAATGTGGCAGAAAACAATGTTGCAAGGTCATTTTTTGTAAACTTGGTAAGTGCCGAAGGGAAAGACCAGTGGTGAAATCCAAATTTTTTTACTACCGGTTCTGTAGGCGTGGTTTGTGGGCATGGTGTGGCTTGGTGGGCGTGGCAGAGAAAGGATACTGCAAAATCCCCATTCCCTCCCCACTCCTGCGGGAAGGAAATTGCAAAATCTCCATTCCCACCCCCCTCTGGGGCCAGCCACAGGTGGTATTTGCCGGTTCTCTGAACTACTCAAAATTTCCACTACCGGTTCTCCAAACTGCTCAATATTTCTGCTACCGGTTCTCCAGAACCTGTCAGAACCTGTTGGATTTCACCCCTTCAGATATTAACATATCAGCTGCACATAACTTGAAACATGATTGGTAATGATATAAATCATATAAACCAGAAATTATGGGTTCTCCATTACTGGAAGTTTTCAAGAAGAGATTGGACAACCATTTGACTGGAATGGTATAAGGCAGTAGTGTCAAACTCGCAAACCCGGATGCATCACGTGCGGGCCACATTCACGCCCAGTTTAGCAAAGGGAAAAAAGTTGCAATATGTCACATGACGCCGTGACGACATGGGTTTGACACCCCTGGTATAAGGTCTCCTGCTCAAGCACCTGGTTGGACTAGGAAGACCTCCAAGGCTCCTTCCAAGCTTGTATTCTGTTTAATTGGATAAATAAAAAAGTGATACGTGCATATGAATATACACACAATATGGAGTTTTAATGGAAATGGGAATCCTGATCAATTATCTATACAGAGTAATTTCACATAGGCTAATCATATTTTGATTATGAGGGAGGAAACTTGGATATCAGCCTCTAGAAAGCAGGGCAGTGATGGATGGCCCAGATAGCTTTATTGCAGACTGAGTATTGATAAGCACAGAAACGAGGTAAGATGAAATAAAATCCTGCATCAGTCCAATCAGAATTTCTTTTTACATTTCAATTGAACATGATCCAAGAATAAAACATAAGCATTACAAAGTATGGGAATACATATTCTGAACCAAGCAATTTCAACATCAGTCACTACGGGCGATTCTCCAGTTCTTTCCTTCTGGTATTTGGAGTAGAATGGGACAATTGACCCCAGCCATCTAGTCATGAACAACTTGCCGTGGGACAATTCACCATGGAAAATTCCACATGGGGATAACTCAACACAATAAATGTTATCCACCACTGTTTTTCCAACATTATTTCCAGTTTTGTCAATGGAAATAATGTCAAAGATAACGTTTATCACATTGAGTTATCCAGCATGGAATTGTACGGATGGCCATGGAGAGGTGGCCGTGGTGAGTTGGCTGTCATAAATTGTCCTAGACCCATTTGGAGAGTAGATGCCAGTCATTCCAAAAGAAAGTAAACTGAACTCTTCCCCACATCCACCGCCATGGACACATCTGGTCTCCAAGATGGAAAGAAAGTATGCCATTTGGAAAAGTGCTACCACACAGGGTTCCTCTTACTGAATCTCAGAAATGAGGCCATCAAAGTTGGGGGATCATTTCTTCTGCTGCTGTTAAGGAAACAAGTAGCAGGAAAGGGGAAACCAACAAACTTCAGCAGCAGTTTGACTCAAAGACTGAAATTCCATTGTAAAGGACATGTCTTCCACAGATGGCATGTGGAGAAAACATGAGCCCATAATCCGAAGGGATAGAAGAACAGGGAGAAAAGGCCAATTGCTCTCCACTATTTCCATTTTCTACACCTTGCTTTGGCAAGCCATTCTGTTGGGAGTAGTGTAGGGCAGCAATGTCCTTGCTAACTCATGAACTATTATGTAATTCTTTATTTTCTCTTATTCTTATGAACAAACATATTCATAGATTTAAAATTTCCTGCAGGGAGCATAAACACTGAGCTTACACAATTTAAAAAATAATAATTTCTGACTTACTGTAGGTATAGAGTACACATTGTGGAAGCCAGAAGGGTGAATATTGTATTTGGGAAGAGGGACAAATAAAAGGGATCAAGATTATGAATTTTCAATGACCCTTAGAAATCAAAAAGAACAGTATTTTCCCCTTAGAAGAGAAATACTGTAAGGCATAGTATTTTGAGGCACACAGATTTTGGTGTCCAGTATTCAATGAGCTATAACCTAATCATCATCGTCATCATCATCATCATCATCATCATCATCATCATCATCATCATCATCAGTATCATCATCTTCTGTGTTTATTTTGCCGGAAAGCACATCTTCTATCCAATCTTCTAATTCCTCAACTGTAGGGAGTTCATCATCATCCCTGATATCCATCCAGACACTGTCCGCCTGAAAGGAAGGGTGAACATTTTCGTCACAACATACTGGGAGTTTTTGGAGCAAAATGTGTTTAAATCTTAAATCTTCTCCAATTACTTATAAAATGGGAGGTTAGGAAACTGGAAATAAAGGAAAAATCATGTGTGGATTTCATTCTACATTTCCTCCCAATAAACTGAATACAAAAGCTTTCAAATATACATTAAATAATAATACTACATGACCATATGATATATGTTAACAAATAAAAATGGCAAATAATCATTTTTTAAATTATAATATGGTTAAGATACACATGCTAAATAAAATTCCTTTGAATTATTCCAGAAGTTTGGGATAATCACAATTGTTGATAAATACTAACTAGAACAAGAATAGAGGATATGTTGCCCATCTGCTCACAGAAACATCCTTTCCCTTTCCCTGCACCTCTCTTTTTGTTTCTCACTCTTATTATTTTGACATTTTTTTCCAGAACACTACATAGAGGGAAGATAATCTTCCCAGAAGTTTCAAAACAGATCTTCAGACGAGGGGCTTTTAAAATTAAGCCAAGGATCACAAATTGCCTACCCATGTTTAGATGAATAGATACGTCCTTGACAGGCATCCATCACTGAGGAGCTGACTGTCAGAGCAAAATATAGGTAGTCCTTGACTTTACAACCTTTCATTTAGGTACCATTCAAACTTATAATGACGCACAAAGCCAGATCCAGTAGCCTTGATGCTAAGGCCACTGAAACTATGAGCCAGCTGATACTCACATCGGTGACATTGACCACACCAATTTGTGGCTTGAACAGGTCAATCTTGAATGTCTTTTCCCAGTATGTGATAAGCTGTAAAAGCAAAAGAAAGAAAAACTTACTTATACTTGTATTCATATTGTGAACTCAAAAAGTTTGATGTCTATGGAGATTCTCAGTCATCCAGGTCATGGTTGTTCCAAAGGTGCTTTTTCAAGAGGCAACTGGACTTTTTTGGTTTTTCTTCGATGACATTTCACTTCTCATCCAAGAAGCTTCTTCGGCTCTGACTGGATGGTGGGGAATAGAAGGATTTATACTCCTTGCAGACAGCTGGCCATTTGCATTCTTTTAGTGGGTCATTAAGGTTATCTGGAGGTTTATCTGTGTCATCAGGGTCACCTGAGTGGTGCAAATGGGTGTGGAGCCTTTTTGGAACTTTTGAAAGGACTGTGTTGTAGACTGAAGATGGATGATGTCATATCCCTCCCCCACTATTGAGAGAGGGCTGTTCAGTTTTGACATAGATGGCCTCTTTGACCCCTCTTTGTTTACCCTGGGCAAGTCACCGCATGCATATACTGTGTTTCCCCAAAAATAAGACCGGGTCTTATATTAATTTTTGCTTCAAAAGATGCATTAGGGCTTATTTTCTGGTTAGGTCTTATTTTGGGGAAAATACGGTACTAAATGCATCCATCTGGCTGACAATCTTAACTGGGGCTTATTTTGGGGGGTAGGGCTTATATTACAAGCATCCTGAAAAATCATGCTAGGACTTATTTTCTGGTTGGGTCTTATTTTTGGGGAAACAGGGTATTTACTCCCCCAAATCTACAGAGAGGGAACTCCACTCAGACCAATTGTCAGTAGCATCAACTCTGTCATCTACAACATTGCAAAACATCTAAACACCTTATTAGCTCCTTTAGTTAGCAGCACCACCCATCATATCAACAATTCACAGGACTTCACTAGCAAAGTTTGGAATCTAAAAGGGTACCCCGATGAGACCATGGTTTCCTATGATGTGACTTCCATCTTCAGATGCATTCCAACTACTGAAGCTGTCATGGTAGTGAAAAAATGACTGGCACAAAACAGCACCTTAGGTGATAGAACCTCAGCCCAGACCATATATGTGCCATGATGGACCTCTACTTGACCACTACCTATTTTAAATACAATGAAGGTTTCTACAGACAAAAACACAGCTGCGCTATGGGTTCATCTGTGTACCCCATTGTAGCCAATCTCTACATGGAAGAGGTAGAAACCAAAGCCCTAAACTCCTTCACAGGAATTCTACCCACTCACTGGCATAGGTATGTGGACGATACTTGGGTCAAGATCAAAACACAAGATGTCAGCATTCTGATGCTGCCATAAAAAGACGAGGCTTGACTTTTCACCTACTTATTTCTTTGTAGATAATATCCCCTAGGAGATGGGATGGTGGGGGGAACATTCCTGTGGGGTGAGATCAGAAGCTGGGGAGACTGACTTGGAAGATGGCCAATGAGAAGATGAGAATTGGGGAACGGAAAGGGAAGGGTTTGGGGGTCAGGGGGTTAGTATCGGCTACGACGAAGTCAGGGTTAGATCTGTCGTACTCAATAAATGGAATATTTCAGCAAAGATTAATTGCTTGGGAGTGCAATTTATTTGAGATGACATCAGAACCTGACAGATAGCCGATACTCCTTTCCAAGCCAAGCTGGCTGACCTCCAATCCTCCAGTTCCCTCCCAGACATACGGAGTGAATGGAGATATTCAGCTGACGCCATGGCTGAAGAAAGTTTTTTTTCAGGCAACTGGAAAAGAGCCAGCCTTGATTCCAGCCAGCTTGGAAGTCACGAAATCTCAACCCTGCCCGTCTCCCCCGGCAAAGTTGCAAGATAGCCAAGGTCAGACGATTGTGCTGCAAGCCAAGAAGAAGGCAGATAAGTACTTGGGGGTTTTGCCAAAAGCCGCAGAGGTTGAGTTTCCCTTCCTGAATGTGCAGGAGAAGGGGAAACCCCAAAGTGAATTGGGGAGGGCAGACTGTATATGGGCCAGGCACCAAGAAATTTCAAGGAAGCCACTCGATAGTCCCATAGATGAACTGAAGGAGAAATTTGACTGTGCCATCCTTCGGGAGGAGGGGCCATCATGCAGACCAAAGGAAGAGAGAGAACCAGTTTGGGCTGCTGAACCGAGAGGCCGTAGACTGAATTGCAGCCCTTCACCCCTCCCTAGCAGAAGGAGAAGGAGCCCAAAAATGCATCCATGGGTTCCCCCCTGGCCCAGCAAGCAGAGCAGCCTAGATGGGACAGCACCTCCCTACCCTAGAATGAGAGATGAGGAAGAGGACCATCAGCACTGAGGCCAGACTTACAGAGCCCCACACTGGGAGGAGAGGGCAGTGAGGGAGGAGCCACCCCGGTTCAGAGGGAAGTTCGATGGCGACCCAGACTACCTAGCCCAATTCCTCGATACCACTGAGATCTACATAGAGCGTTATGGACACCTCTACCCATTCCCCAGAGCCCTAGTGAGTGCCATTTCAGAAGGGTTGGAGGGAGAAGCAAGGAGGTGGTCAGCAGCCCTCTACAAGAACAGGGCCCCCCAACTGCAAGATGCAGACAGGTTCTTACAACTACTACGAGCCCGGTTCGAGGAGGCAGAGGAGGACCCCTATATGGAGGACGAGCTCAGAAACCTAATGCAGAAGGGGAAGCCCATCAGAGAGCATATCCGTGAATTCAGGAGAGTCATTGGGACCCTGCCTCCCCTACCGGAGCGACTACTGGTGTACTTCTTTAGGACAAACCTAGATAAGAGAATTGCCCAAGTGACCACTTATCGAGACATCCTGAACCGACTCTCCGAATAGTTCCGGGTAGCGATAAAAGTTGACAGAGGGTTGCGGGCCAACGGCATGTCGAAGCAACCAGATAACAAGGAGAGGGGCCACCCAGTGGACGAGGAACTGCAGCACCACAGCCCACCCATTGGCCAGTCGTCCCACGGAGCCCGCTGAGGTGCTACAGATGCAGGGGGATTGGTCACCTGGCAGCAATGTGTGGAACCCCTAGACCGAGACCAGATCCACTGCACAAGGCACGACCGGAACGAGGGCCCAAACGCGCCACCCACGTGCCATGGAAAGCTCCCCAGGGCCCGGAGGTCTTCGCTCACCTGACCGAAACAAGAGGAATTCCAGATGAGGGAGATCAATTCCCCGAATCTTATGACAGCGAGGACGAGGGTGAAAACGACCCGATGGTGAGTGGACCCGTCCATCCTTTTCTTTTCCCCATACGCCTAACAGCCCCGAAAACAGGGACCCAAGGGACTTTCCAAGCCCTAATAGACCCTGGCAGCACGAGGTGCCTGATCAACCTACCCACAGTCCTAAAATTGGGGATCCGGGCTAAAAAGCTCAAACACCCAATTTGATTTGAACAAGTTGATGGTTCCTTAGTGGGGGGAACTTATGCCACACACTTGACCAAGCCAGTGAGGCTGGAGCTAGCAGATCACTGGGAAATAATTCGGTTCATAATAGCCCCCAAGATGACAGACCCAGTCATACTGGGACTCTCGTGGCTGGACAAATGGGGTCCAATCATCTGGTGGCAAGAGGGGACCCACAGGTTGAGGATATCAAAGGGCCCCCAGCCCCTGCCACCCCAACCAGGGGAGATGCCCCCCACACAGGGACCCCAATCCCTCCCACCTCAGCAAAAGAAGACACCGCCAACACAAGGGCCCCTCCCTGAGGGTACAGGGGAGCAACTGTCGGCCGCATCCGACAGCTCTTATGACACAGATCAGATCCCAGGGGAGTACCAAGACCTTGCAGAGGTATTCAGCGAGGCCGAGTGTGACGTTCTACCCCCCCCCACCGCGAGGCTGAGTGCTATCGAAATCATCCCTGGGATGAAACTACCTAAACCTAAATTGTATGCCATGACGCCCAGTGAAATGCAAGAACTGCGAAACTACATAGACAAGAACCTACAAAGGGGTTTCATTGAGCCGGTCAAACCGTGAGTCGCAGCACCGATCCTTTTCAAAGAGAAGAAAGACGGCTCTATGCGTCTGGTAGTTGACTTTCGCAGTATCAATGCTGTCTGCGTACACAACTTATATCCCCTCCCCCTCATGAAAGACATGCTAGCCCACCTGGCCAAGGGGAAGGTTTTCACCAAACTAGACCTCCGTGAAGCCTACTACCGAATACGCATCAGGGAAGGAGACGAGTGGAAGACAGCATTCAACTGCCCCCTGGGGAGTTTTCAATTCAAGGTGATGCCATTTGGGCTACAGGAAGCTCCAGCGGTGTTTATGCAGCTGATAAATGAAGTTCTACATGACCACCTCTATAAGGGGGTCCTCGTCTACCTACATGACATTCTCATTTACACGGAGACCATAGAGGAACACGTACGCCTCATACGCCAAGTGCTGGAAAAACTGCTGAGGGCAAGCTTGTATGTCAAACTGTCAAAATGCGAGTTCCACCAATCATGACTAGACTACCTTGGCTACCGAATATCAACCGAAGGAATAGAGATGGACCCAGCCAAAGTCCAATCAGTTCTACAGTGGCAACCCCCTCGCACCCGCAGACAACTGCAAAGCTTCCTAGGGTTCGCGAACTTCTACAGACAATTCATCCCCTCGTTCGCAAGAATTGCCAAACCTCTGATGGACCTCCTAAAGACAGGGAGTCCGGTGACGAAACCCCACCCGGAACAACCCCTACAGTGGGACCTGACCTGCCAATGGGCATTCGAGATGCTAAAAGAGATGTTTGCAAAAGAACCTGTCTTAAAGCATCCTGACCCTGAACAGCCCTTCGTTATCCAAGCAGATGCAAGCGATATGGCAGTGGGGGCTGTGCTGCTCCAAAAGAACAGCCAAGGTAATCTACAACCTTGTGCCTACACCTCCCGCAAGCTCACTGACACGAAGAGGCGACGGGCGGCATGGGAGAAGGAAGCGTTCACGGTGAGATGGGCATTGTTGACCTGGCGGCACCTACTAGAGGGAGGCCAGAAACCGTTCAAAGTTTGGACTGATCATAAGAATCTGGAGGCCCTCA